GCTGAACCTGGTTACATCGCTTCACCAGGCATCGCTTCACCAGGCTGAATCAATTTTTCAATACCTTCTTGTCAAAGATGCCTCCAAAAAAACCTGACGAGCGAGTCCTCCTCGACAAATACGATTATTTGTCAGAACGCTTGACTGCCCTGATTGCCAATGCCGAAAGCAAACTCTCTAACGAATGCCTTCCTGATGTTGCAAGAGTTCTCTCTACTACGATTCTCGGAATGATCGATCAACTTGACGATACTTACATGGAATGGCTTGCTGCATCGACCTCCCAATCGGATGAAACAGTTACCGAAATGAAAAAATCTCATAATAAGTTGGCCATGAAATGTGACGTCGTCTTGATTTCTTTGAACGTTACTGCCCTTGACAATGCAAATGTGAAACCGCAAAAAGACGTGCAAAAAGACAGACTGCCCAAAGTAGAATTCAGGCCCTTCAACAAAACCCAACCAAAGCTTTGGTTTGATCAATTGGAAATTATTTTCACCTCGTCATCTATCAATTCGCCGGAACAAAAATTTGCCGCCCTTCTCAGGCTTTTGGATGATACGACCGCCTCACTCCTCAGTACGATCACGAGAACCAAGGCACCTACTGCATATGATGATGCAAAATCTCTCCTCTTAAAGGAATTCCAATTATCAAAATACGACAGGGTAAAAGCATATCTTGAATCTACCCCCGGCCCGGACGAAAAGCTGACGATTTTCCATTCTCGTGTTGAATCTTTAACGGATGGTCTTTCTTTCGACGATATCGAAAAGTTTTGTCTTCTCCGCCATGCGCCCGCTGCAGTACGTCTTCAACTATCGGGTGCAAACTTTGACAAAACGCCATTGATCGATCTCTTGGTCGAGGCTGATTCTCTTTCACAACGGGCAAATCTGGATGCTAACGTTATCGCTGCTGTTCAAGGAAAACCAAAGATTTCAAACGTTTGTAATTTTCATAGAAAGTTTGGCAAAGAGGCCCGCACATGCACGGGCAAAACACGTTGTAAGCAATGGCAGCAAGGTCTTCGAATCGCCGGAATGTCCATCGAGGATAAGGGAAACGAAAATGGCACGCCTTCGCGAGGGTAGACGGCTGCCATTCATCCGGACCCTCAAAACCTCAAACAACTAATTCTTTGTCACCTCCTTTTGTCGCCGGTAAATTCCTCATCGATTCCGGATCGCCTCTTACTATAATACCAGCATCCTTGGAAGACAAGCTGCATCCATCCATCGACACGGGCTTGCAAGATGCCAGCGGTGGTAAAATCCTTTCTTTCGGAAAATGTTTTGTAAATATTCCAATCGACGGCAACTTGATTCCTTTTGAGGCAACGCGATGCGACGTTATACGTCCAATTCTAGGCCGTGATTTTTTCGAAGGTCCTGGAAGAAATTGGTTATTGGATGTTGGATCGGCAAAGCTTATAAAAAAACCTGAATCTCCTTACCTTGGCATTCCGATATCATTTAACTCGAAAGCTATCTGTTCGCTGGTTAAGCCGACGTTTAATCCAGCCGCCGTTCCGTTCCGCCCTTCTTCAGACATTTCTTCATGGAAAATCCAAGCTCAACAGCTCGTGGACAACTTCGTGAAAGTCATCGGCAAAGACGACGGCTCCTCCCCCTGCCTTTTCGCGCCGATCCGCATTGACACCGGCGACAAAGCACCTATTTTCTCCAAATTTCGTCCACTCACCGGTGAAAAGGCTAACTTCGTTAAAGACAAATTGCAAGAACTTGTCAACGCTGGTATCATCGAAGAGGTAACTGGCCCCATCGAATGGGCGTCTCCTATCCACGTTGCTGCAAAGAAACTTTCAGACGGATCGCCGGGATTCCGCCTTTGCGGAGATTACAGACGTCTCAACAACATCACAGCACTTGACCGCTACCCGCTCCCATCAATCTCTTCCTTAAATGC